CTGAATGTAAATGTGCAACCTCTTTTTGTGACAGATTTTTGCATGAAATTATAATTCTTCTGAATGATATTCCTATTGACAGCTAGTTTCTATGTGAACATTATGAGATGGACAGCCAGAGAGAATAAATGAAAAACAGTTATGAAATACTATATGACAAAACAAGAATACAGTTTAAAAGGGGAGTGATTTGTAAAATATCCATAAAGAAAAATCTGTTTACAGTTCTGTTTCATATGGGTGTTGAGAGATGTATCCATAGATCTCTTCATTTTGCATGCCCCCGGACCCCCCTAGAGGATGTGAGGACCCCCCTAGAGGATGTGAGGACCCCCCTAGAGGATGTGAGGACCCCCCTAGAGGATGTGAGGACCCCCCTAGAGGATGTTAGGTCCACGGTGTTTACATGCTTATTTATACAATATGTGTGCTTATGCTAACATCATAAGACAAAAGTTGGTTCCGTGTTGTGTGAAGTGAAAACGCGCTAGAGTGAGGGGGGCCCCCAAGCCAAAGCTCGCTTAGGGCCCCCAAAAGTCTAGGGCCGGCCCTGGCTACATGTTATTTAGTTGCTTTCTGTAAGGTAATATAAATACATGTAATCAATTGTGTTGAATGGGAATACCATCTCATATTGATCACAGCGCCATAAATCCATACACTATAAGATTATTTATAGGAAAAGCTTTTACTTGAAACATCTTTTTTTATATAAACAGTTCTTACAGTTTCTTCTACCTCACATGACTTCCCGTCACCGCCGCTAAGCTAAAGGTGGCTAATGTTGGGCTATAAAGGAACTACAGCACGGTCACATGACTTCACGTCACCACCGCTAAGCTAAAGGAGGCTAATGTTGGGCTATAAAGGAACTACAGCACGGTCACATGACTTCACGTCACCACCGCTAAGCTAAAGGCGGCTAATGTTGGGCTATAAAGGAACTACAGCACGGTCACATGACTTCACATCACCACCGCTAAGCTAAAGGAGGCTAATGTTGGGCTATAAAGGAACTACAGCACGGTCACATGACTTCACGTCACCACCGCTAAGCTAAAGGTGGCTAATGTTGGGCTATAAAGGAACTAAAGAACTGTCACACATGCTAACTTCAGGGTCTGATTACAGAAACACGTCATTCCTGCAGCTCTCTATAACGTAGGTGTAGTCATTTGACACATTGAGCTGGTTTCATTGTTTAGGAAGCCTGTCACCACTTGGTTCAGTTTAACGGCTCTTAAGGAGCTTTTATTTAGTGTGAGATCGCCCGTGGTCTTCCGACTTCAATCTGTGACAACAGGATTTAATTCAAAGACTCTGAGACTTGTGCAAACAGCAGCATTTCATCTTTAATCCTGAAGTGGGATCAGTGTTTTAAACTCTGCAGGAAGTCTCCCTGATCCTCTCCTTCCTGCAGAATGAAGCCTTTAATCTGTTTCTAAACGGCTCCGACTGCAAGCAGCACAGCAAACAGGAAAACTACAGCTTTGTTTTATTTCCAGAATGCAGTTCATGAGCTAGAACGAGGGTTTTATCGTCTGTAATCTATTTCCAATAAAGAGTTTGGCAGGATTTGTGTTTTTTTCAGTCAGTAGTGGTGAATATATATTTATTTTGTATCCACATGGGCCTCTTTGGTGCTTCATGTTCGCCTCAAAAACTGAACATGGAGGACAAATAAAACCCTGACGGTCTGCAGTGGTTTGTTACTTTGAAATGTAATACTGAATACACTTTGAGATGATCAGAGGTGGGAGAAGTACTCAGATCTTGTACTTGAGTAAAAGTAGAAGTACTTAGATATTGTACTTGAGTTAAAGTAGAAGTACTCAGATCTTGTACTTGAGTAAAAGTAGAAGTACTCAGATCTTGTACTTGAGTAAAAGTAGAAGTACTCAGATCTTGTACTTGAGTTAAAGTAGAAGTACTCAGATATTGTACTTGAGTTAAAGTAGAAGTACTCAGATCTTGTACTTGAGTTAAAGTAGAAGTACTCAGATCTTGTACTTGAGTTAAAGTAGAAGTACTCAGATCTTGTACTTGAGTAAAAGTAGAAGTACTCAGATCTTGTACTAAATGTTTATTGGTGTACAATGTCTTGATTCGGTTAAAATGTAGAGTTGAAACAAACCGAGATTTAAAAGTAAATGGTCAAATCTGGCTTAAAAGTGCATTTAAGGACAATTTATGATCTGACATGTGCTCAAATGGGATATGCCACCATTAGCCAGGAGACCAGATTATTAAAATTAAAGATTTTTTTAAAGATATTTTATTATATATCTTGCAAAAACACACACACACACACACACACACACACACACACACACACACACACACACACACACACACACACACACACACACACACACACACACACACACACACACACACACACACACACACACACACACACACACACACACACCTTACTCCCAGGATCATTTCTTTTTTTAACGTGTTTCTACATTTGGACTCACCTCCGTTCTGCCCAGGTGTTTTTTTTGCAGCTTTATTACCCATGATGCACTCTGGTTGTGCTCTCGATGATCTTCAGAGGCGTTTATTTATCGATTTACAGATCTGTCGGTGGAGAAGTTTCCCGCAGAGGGGAGAAGGAAAACAGATTTAGAGGATCCAACGCACCGCAGGGAGTCTGCTTCAGATCAGAGGACATTCCTGAGGTTTTGGTCGAGTTTCTAACTCTAGTTTTTCTGTTATAAAAATATACAGAAGAACTACAAAAGATGACCTCATCACAAACATAAAATGAGCACATGTGATTTCAATGTTCTTCACCGTTGTCTCATCATGTCTCCTGCACGGTCAAATAATTCAGTTTCTTCCACGGTGTAGTAAATTACTCAAGAGACATTAAAGTAAATTGCTTATTTATTCAGTTATATTTGACATGAGTGTTTTACTTCAAATCCAGAAAAGAAACCCCACAAAAAACAACCTGTTTTTCTGAAAAAGTCTCAAACTACAAATAACATTTATCTCCTTTTGTACTTAAAATCAATAAATATGACACGTGAAATGGAAAATAGTGCAAAGTAAGTCAAAGAATGATCGATGTTCCTGAGTTTTGGTCAGGTGGGTTTCAAATGTGTGTTTTACGGTAAAAAATATAGGAAAACTACAGATTTTACCTTTAAATCTCATCACAAAATGCAGCTTTAAAGTCCATTTAAATGTGCTTTACCTTTGTCTCCTTTTTACTACAAATTCCTTAATATGACTCTTGAATATAATACAAATAATTCAGTTTAAATCTACTAAATTGTACAGTTAATTTGTAATTTACTTAAAATTATTTGACATTTACTTCAACCTAAAAAAAATGTTTTCCACTTAAAAAATATTGAGAAAACCTACAAATATTACCTTAAAATCTCATAAAAAAAACTGCTTCTTTACTGTAGCTTGAAAATGTAAAAAGTACAACTAAAAAACACTTTTACGTTTGTCTCCTTTTTCTACTTGTACTATTATAAATATGAAATGGAAATGTCCTTAGTCTTACTGAAGAAGACAGAGGAAAGAGTAAATTGGGCATTTATTTAATATTATTTGACATTACAACAGGAGAGTTTCTACTTCAAATCAAAGAATGATAAGTAATCCTGAATTCTGGGTTTTATGGTAAAAAAAATACAGAGAAAAACTACAGATTTTACCTTTAAAGGGGACCTATCATGCAAAATGCACTTTTTTATGTCTTTTATACATAAACATGTGTCCCCGGTGTGTCAGAAAATAAAACCCTCTCTCTTTTCCTCCGTACCCAAATCTCTAAAAACAGGGGAACAACGGAGCTGATCCAGATTTGCGTCCGATATGACGTAATATCTGAAATGTGGACCCACGGGCCCAATCAGAAACGTTGCTATCAGAAACAATGCCCGACTGTTTTGGACGTAATATGGTCGGTGTTTACATTAGCATCGCTAACACTCAGAGCTAACCTGTACTGGAGAGCATGTGTGTGAAGAAGCAGGAAATAAAAAGGAACTCACCTTGTGGTATAACCGGCAAGAGAGAAAGCCTTTGAGCTCCATACTGTTTCAGAAACAATCCTTGATAATCCATGATATGGCGTTTCATCACGGCAGTATTTAGTTTAGACAGTAGCTGCCGGGTCCCGCATGAGCTCAGACCCCTCCTTTTTTATTTGTATCAATTTTTATTTTTTTAAAGCTTCATACCCCAAATCAGCACTTTTGAAACAGGAAGTGAAATAGAGGGATATGAGGCATGGCGAGAATGGGTGATCTGTTTGGTATTTTGAGCAAAACACTTCATAGACATGTTTTTTATATATCTGAGACCTATGCTATTGCCTAAAAATAGCATGATAGGTGACCTTTAAATCTCATCACAGAATGCAGCTTTAAAGTCCATTTAAACGTACGTTACCTGTGTCTTCTCTTGTACCTTAAACACAATAATATCAATGACACATGCACTGTAAATAATAACAAGTATACAGTTTAAATATTCTAAGAGGTACTCGTTTACTCCGAGAAAGGAAAGTAAACTGGGTATTTATTTGACGGTATTAGTGTATCCTGCAGGAGTAAAATATGTTTGTTTTTGATCCTAAATGAGTGGAAATTCACTTTTTCAGAGTCGTAAACAGATGTGGAAAAAGGCAAGTAACCAAAACAAGTTATATGACACTTAATCTGTAAAATATGACACAAATCTTAGTGAAATTACTCCGGAAAAGCAGATTTAAATGAGTTATTTATTAAACATGATTGTATCCTGCAGGAGCTTGAATAAAACCTGCTTGTTTTTTGCTTCCGAAACGAGTTGAAATGCAGCTTTTAAAGGGTCGTAAACACAAGTGGAAAAAGTGAAGTAAGCAATTCATAATATATGAAATCGATCCTGTGGAGCAAAGACGGCCACATTTACAACGTGGTGTAAAAAAAAACCCTCCAAGGAAAACACATTATTAAAAGCAGAGTAAATAAAGCAATAACAACGTGTTGGTTTCTCCGCTTTATTGAGGACGTCGATGGTGAATTCACATCAACATGAGTCACACAATCTTTCAATAAACACACCAAGAAGAACGGCAGCTGAGCGTAAAACGTTTGGAGAGAAAAGGACGCAAATATGTAGGATTATTAAAAACATTTATAGTAAAAAAACAAACAAATATTGTATATTTAGAGGAAAAGTTATCCGAAACAGGTTTGTTCTTTAGTTACCATAAACACACACTTTAGTTTAATTTAGACCCCCACACACACCGTCACAAATACAGCAACAAACGTGGATTAATCCGCCGATGAAAGTAGTCCCAACAAAAAGAACAATTTCCCTCCTTTAAAAAAAAATGTTATACTCGTCTTATTAGAGACTTAAAACCTCACCAGTAACATGTAAATGTAGAACATGTAGGAGTTGTTTAAGACGGACATCATTTTCCTTCCACCATAACAACTGTATTCGTTTCAAGCCTTTCAAATCATTTAATATAAATTTGACTTTTTGGGATATTCATTCTGGCATTTAGGTTGAAAACGGATTTCCACAAATGCGCTTTCCCCTCCTGTTTGAGTGAGAAAATGTGGATGAATCTGCCGCAGAAAGTAGTCCCAATCAAACCCACTCACTCCTCTTGTTTCCTTGTTTAAAGACTAGAGTGAGCAGCTGTTTGTGGACATTTTCGCCCATATCTTTTATTTATTTAAGTATATATATATTTTTTGTGTTTTTAAAGATATTAATCTTCGTTAGGAACCAATGTGAGGATACAGAACGCTCGACACTTCTTTACCCATGACCGCCCATCTTGGCTACGTAACTCCAGCTACCTAACTAGCTACGTTACTGATGCTACGTAACGGAAGCTAGGTAAAGAAAGCTACATAACCGAAGCTACGTAACCGAAGCTACGTAACGATAGCTACGTAACCGAAACTACGTAACCAAATCTACGTAACTAGCTGAGACTGCTCCGTTAAAAACAGCACTCTTCAAATAAAATGTGTTTATTTGTTCACTATTTAAGTTACGTTCCACTATGCTGGTGTGGGAAAGAAGCCGTGGTTAATTTATCCGTCTGTAAAGATTTTTCGTTACCGCAAATGATAACGTTGCTACCTAGCAAGCTAACAGCGGCTATTGTGGTGATTGTAGTTCACACACTGCTCAGGTGTTCACAGTGTAGATCACGCTGTTTCCTGATCCGAATGGAGACACAGCACAGAGTCTTTTTGGGGGAATATGTAGACAAAAAATAAATAAAAAACAGACCCTTTAACAAAAATAGGTAAATTGCTCAGCTGCCGATAGCATCTTCATTCTGCCGTCGAACATATTGAATAAACTCTTACACTACTTACTGTTTAGCTTTTATTTCTTATAAACAATATTCATTATTTACCTCCAGCAGCCCATCGGACACACACACACACACACACACTCACTCACACACACTCACAGAGGAATAGAAAATAAAATTAAATACACATCTTGCAGCTGATCTCAGGTCAGATCCTGCGGACGCGGCGGGCCGAGCAGAGCCGGAATAGCGATAGCGGCGCTGATCTCAGACCAGCCTCTAAAACCGCAACAGAGTTCATCATTCTGACCTGGAAACCTGTCTCTCTCTTTTTTTTTTTTTTTAACCATTCAGCAGCTTGATCAGGTGACACCAAAACGGGAGGCCGAAGCCCCGCCTCCAAAAGAACAGGAAGTACGTCTCTTATTGGAGCCGAGCGGTCCATTGTTCCAGTTCCCGCCTCCCCTTCATCTGTGGCCCCTCCCCCTTCGGAGCAGAAGCCGGGCTCTGATTGGTGGAAGTGTGAAAAGGGGGCGGGGCTCACTGCGGTTTGGAGCGCCAGAACCGTGAGGCGATGGATCCGAGAGACAGGCCCTGTTTCTTCTGCTGGGCGAGCTCCGCTAAACGCTGCTCCTCCTCCTGAGAAACAAAGAGAGAGGAGATTAAAGCTAGTTTATTATATACAAATATACATTTCAGACTCAAAGGAAGTTTACTACTTCCTGTTCCCTTGTTTGGAAGTCAAAATCTCAGTAGACAGTTGCTAACAAGTGTCTAAATTACGTCATTACGCCCAACATTAGCCGCCTTTAGCTTAGCGGTGGTGACGTGATGTCATGTGACCGTGCTGTAGTTCCTTTATAGCCCAACATTAGCCTCCTTTAGCTTAGCGGTGGTGACGTGAAGTCATGTGACCGTGCTGTAGTTCCTTTATAGGCCAACATTAGCCGCCTTTAGCTTAGCGGTGGTGACGTGAAGTCATGTGACCGTGCTGTAGTTCCTTTATAGCCCAACATTAGCCGCCTTTAGCTTAGCGGTGGTGACGTGAAGTCATGTGACCGTGCTGTAGTTCCTTTATAGCCCAACATTAGCCACCTTTAGCTTAGCGGTGGTGACGTAAAGTCATGTGACCGTGCTGTAGTTCCTTTATAGCCCAACATTAGCCACCTTTAGCTTAGCGGTGGTGACGTGAAGTCATGTGACTGTGCTGTAGTTCCTTTATAGCCCAACATTAGCCGCCGTTAGCTTAGCGGTGGTGACGTGAAGTCATGTGACCGTGCTGTAGTTCCTTTATAGCCCAACATTAGCCACCTTTAGCTTAGCGGTGGTGACGTGAAGTCATGTGACCGTGCTGTAGTTCCTTTATAGCCCAACATTAGCTATTTTTACATTTTCATTTACACTTCAACATTATAAACTTCTTACCTGTGCCAGCTGGGCCTGTCTGCGTTTGAAAGCGTCGATGGGGTCGTCCTCCAGAGCGTAGTTTTCCAACACCGAGCGAACATCATCCACGCCGCTCAGAGCAATAGCTGCAGGAGAAAAGGCAACAAAAAAACATTTAGAAAATAGGATTATTCCTCTCAACGTCTCAAATAGAAATAAAATAGCATTAATAATACTTATGTCTATATAATATCCTGCTGTAAATTTGTAATTTAACATTTTTTTTTATTGCTATTGAGATGTTGACATTTTTTAATGTTTATTTCTTGTCTTTTAATTTGATTGTACAATGCCTTTTTATGCTTTGTTGGAGGAGCTCAGGTCAGAAGAATGTCCTTGCCATGTCTCCACTGTAGCTTTGTGCATATGACGATAAAACCTTTGAATCTTATGGTCTTCTTACTCTTGAGGAAGTTGGCGAGGTCGTACAGCGTTCGATCCTCTGAGTTTCCGTCCCATTTTTTCAGAGCCATGCCGTTGAAAGGCTGCAGGCGGAAGGCTTCCCTCTTACAGTCCACCACGATCACTTTGCTGGTGTCTCGGTTCAGATACGACACGTCCTGCAGGGACAGAAAAACACATCATTAGCTATTCAATAAAGTCAGACTGAAGCATCCTTTGTGCTCCAGTCAATCCTCACAGTAAAAAGCGTGGTGCAGGAATGAGTCTTAAAACCCAGAAGTGAGTCAGCATTTCTCCACTTCCTGTTCCCTCGTCTCAGAGCCAATGGGATCTCTCCATAGGATGTTGGATAATAGCTGAAATAAGGTCTGTGGTTGAGACACATTGAAGAGACGGATCACGTTTTGTTCTACGCCATTAAATCCATCAGCAGTGACCCCACTGGTGATTTCTGAAGAGTTGACGTGTCTGAAAAACGATGGTTGTTACCAAGTGGCTGAATAGGACTACAGAAGTTGTGGAGGACGTTGTACGTCATTACGCCGAACACGTAAACACTCCGCTAAGTTAGTTTGCCCTGTTCTGCTTGAAAGCAAGTACCTGCCTCCTGCAAAGTGTTCAAACAAACGCTTCAACTTGTACCATTTAGAATCTGTGTGTTTGAATATGGATCATAAGTTGGCGTGACGTTGAAGTCGTGCTGCTGGACTCGGCTGCAGTTCCTTTATAGCATAACGTTAGCATTTTGCTTCTGGACATTAGATTTATGATTCGAACATTATAAAAGTAGGGAAGACGTGTGGAGATTATCCGGCTGAACAAAACGTGCATTTATCAAACAGGTTCCTTTTACACAGATCTTATTTACAGCTATTTTCCAAAATCCTATAGAGAAATCCTGTTGCTTTTTTGTCGAGGGAACCAGCAGCTTACTTCCGGGTAAACACGTCCTCCCTGCACCGCTCTATACAGAGCTGAATGCAGATCAGATGCAGATCAGATGCACGCTGAAGGCTCTTTGAGCAGGTTTTCTCTCAGTGATCCTGCTGTTATGTTAAATGGTTATTGTTTGTTTTTCATGTATTGTGAGCTGCTGGGATGCAAGGAGCATTTCAGACTTGATCTGACCATTAAATTATTATCGTATCGTATTATTTTAAGAACATATTCACAAAGCACACATAACAAAATAAACACATCTAGGTACATAGATGAACTACATAACAGTTAACAAATCCAGATTATTATTTATTTATTACACGGCTTATTTGAATACTCGATTCTGATTGGTCAATTTGGACTTTTCAGAGGTTGTTAATACTTGATAATAGACTGCTGCCAAGCAAAAATAATTACAGTTGCTATTTCTTCAATAAAGACCACCTCGAATGCAAATTATTCCTTACTTATTTAACCCTTTATTTCACCGTTTAAAATACAAAATCACAACAAATTAAAGCTTGATTTTTCTGTATGAATCTTTTGGTTAACTCGCAACTGCTTTCTTAATTTTCTTATCCACTTAATTGAATTCTGTGTTATGTATGTATGTTTGTTTGTCTGTCTGTATGCTCGTATGGCGTTTTTCTTGTATTGTTAAGTATCATTGAGGACTTAGAAAAGCGCTAAATAAATGAAATATTCAAGATTCATAGGATTTAATGAACATTTCAAGTGAAAGCAAAGTATATCTCAAGTCCCAGGCTCTTTCAATAACGCAAAATACAATATACTGACATCAAAAATATAAACTATATATACATGTAGTTTCAGCTTGCTAGCATTTAAAACAAAAAGCAGAGTGTTTAAATAATTCAGAGACTTAATGTGATGTGACACACAAATAAAAAAACACTTAATAAAATGTAAATTAATTAACCCCACACACACACACACACACACACACACACACACACACACACACACACACACACACACACACACACACACACACACACACACACACACACACACACACACACACACACACACACACACACACACACACACACACACACACACACACACACACACACACACACACACACACACACACACACACACACACACACACACACACACACACACACACACACACACACACACACACACACACACACACACACACACACACACACACACACACACACACACACACACACACACACACACACACACACACACACACACACACACACACACCTCCCCAACATAAGGCACTCTGTTGACCTTTTTATGGTCTAATCAAAAACACAACTTTATTATCCTAATGATACTTAATATTTAAATTAAAACACACACTTTCTCTGGTGGCTCCAGCTGGTGACTATGAGTGTGTGTGTGTGTGTGTGTGTGTGTGTGTGTGTGTGTGTGTGACAGATGGAGAGGGACGCTGCCTCTATCACCACGCTCATCTGGTGCCCAGCCCCCCCCCCCCCCCAAAAACTGCTGTGAGTGCATGTGTGTGTGTGAGAGAGTGTGTGTGTGTGTGTAAACCCCAGCAGAGACATTCATCCATCCTTCACCCAGCCAATGAATAAAGGGCATCTGTCTTCCTTAAGTGTGTGTGTGTGTGTGTGTGTGTGTGTGTGTGTGTGTGTGTGTGTGTGTGTGTGTGTGTGTGTGTATGTGTAATGCAAACACACACTAGTATAATAATGATATTTAGCCACATGCACCCCCGTTTTCACTCAAATTGGTTCGAACCAGTTAGATCATACCATCAATCTGAGAGAAGGGGGGGAGGGGTTTATTAATGATAGATAATAAAATTAAAATAAATATTTTTTTGGTTTAGACTTCCAACTGTGTCTGTATAACAACACAAACACACATCATCATTTTTGTATATTTATTTAGAAGAGATGGGGGCATTTTGTCAGCCAAATAAATAAAATCTCATTTAAGCGGAAAACCAATTAACAATTTCTTCACAGCTGATTCTTAAACGCGCTTAATGGAGTTTTTGATGCAATGTTTATGCAGATTTTATTCCATTATTATTATTATTATTATCATAGATATATATAAATGCATATGAGGTTTTTAGATGTCTCTACTTTCTGATTCTCATTCTGAAAACACGAGTTATCCACCAACACATGGGTTTTGCTGCACGGTGGATAACTCTCTTGTCATTTCAGAAACAACAGGTCCTCTGCTTGTCTTTGGGAATCAATGAATGTGAAAAAGCCTCTGAGTGATGGTATTGGCACGAGACATCTGTGGCTCTGAGTGAGACTACAAATGGAAAGACTGAGCAAAACTTCATCTGTTCAGTTCATTTAGATTAGATCAATACTAAGCTGCAAATCTACAATACTGGATATAAGTGCTGAATTTAGACATTTTGGCTGGTTCATTGTATGCTGTACTAGTTAATTAAACTAATTAAAACATACATGGGGGACTATAGTCATTTTTTACAATGAATGTGTCCTACATACAAGGCATTTGAATGCAAAAAATACAAATATTTGCGGATTAAATAGTTTTAACCCCTTTGTATTTGATTTATTCTCACTTTCTGAAATTCCCTTTATGCTGTACTGATCTTTTTCGTTAAAAAAAATGAATTATGAACATACATGTGGGATTATAGTCTTTTTTTACACTGAATGTGTGCTTAATACGAGGCATTTTAATGCAAAAAATACAAATATTTGCTGCCTAAATACTATTAAGCCCTTTGTATATTTGTCTAAAAAAGGCACAAATCTGGGAGAAGTTTTTATCAGATAGCGCTGTTTTCTGAAATTCCCTTCACACATCAGGGTAGTTACGAATAAAAAAAAACTGACAATAAAAGCCTGTAAATATATTAAAAAGTGAATGGCTTTAATTGTGAAAGGTAACAATGGAAGGAAGGCCGAAAAACCTTTCTTTTAAAAAAAGCATTTGATTAAACTTGTGTTTTTTCTTCTTCTATTAAGCCTCTTGTAGCACTTTGGGATTTCTTTTAACGATGAAAGGTGCTTTACAAATCAAATGTATTATTATTGGTTTGTATGAAACTCGTGAAAACCTTCTCTATCTCCCATTAAACCTGTGGAAATGAACCGTGCATAGACAGCAGGTCAGAATAATAAAAAAGTAATCCAACCGTTGTGTTTTCTTATCCCGACGACAGACAATAAGACGTCTGCCGTCAGATGCAGGGCAGCAAACAATGGCTGCATGTCGCTTTACGAGGGTCAGCACTGAGGCTCAGGAGGAATTAATGCTATTTTATATATTAATACAGCTTTTAAAATAATATCAGACAGCAGACGATGAAACAACGGGGAGAAGACACTCAAAAAGCTGCCGTCTCAACAAGCTCAGACACAGATTATGTCGAATAAAAGGACTTTTATCTGTTCGTGGATCACGTGCTGGGTCTTAGAATCCAAATGATAGAATAACTGTTTACATATATACAAACATGAATCATTATGATTATGTGAACGGGTTTTTCTGCACCCTGAAGCACATTCATGTAAACAACATTTATTAACTCTCTCCTGATGTACGAACATTATAACTCTCCCTCACGTACGAACATTATAACTCTCCTTCACGTACGAACATTATAACTCTCCTTCACGTACGAACATTATAACTCTCCCTAACGTACGAACATTATAACTCTCCCTCACGTACGAACATTATAACTCTCCCTCACGTACGAACATTATAACTCTCCCTCACGTACGAACTTTATAACTCTCCCTCACGTACGCAGCTTTATAACTCTCCCTCACGTACGAACATTATAACTCTCCCTCACGTACGAACATTATAACTCTCCCTCACGTTCTCCCTCACGTACGAACATTATAACTCTACCTCACTTACGAACATTATAACTCTCCTTCACGTACGAACATTATAACTCTCCCTAACGTACGAACATTATAACTCTCCCTCACGTACGAACATTATAACTCTCCCTCACGTACGAACATTATAACTCTCCCTCACGTACGAACATTATAACTCTCCCTAACGTACGAACTTTATAACTCTCCCTCACGTACGCAGCTTTATAACTCTCCCTCACGTACGAACATTATAACTCTCCCTCACGTACGAACATTATAACTCTCCCTCACGTTCTCCCTCACGTACGAACATTATAACTCTCCCTCACGTACGAACATTATAACTCTCCCTAACGTACGAACATTATAACTCTCCCTCACGTACGAACATTATAACTCTCCCTAACGTACGAACATCATAACTCTCCCTCACTTACGAACATTATAACTCTCCCTCACGTACGAACATTATAACTCTCCCTCTCTCCCTCACGTACGAACATTATAACTCTCCCTCTCTCCCTCACGTACGAACATTATAATTCTCCCTCTCTTCATAACTTACGAACATTATAACTCTCCCTCACTCCCTCACGTACGAACATTATAACTCTCCCTCTCTTCATAACTTACGAACATTATAACTCTCCCTCACTTACGAACATTATAACTCTCCCTGACGTACGCAGCATTAGAACTCTCCCTCACGTACGAACATTATAACTCTCCCTCTCTCCCTCACGTACGAACATAAATTACGAACATTATAACTCTCCCTCACGTACGAACATAACTTACGAACATTATAACTCTCCCTCTCTCCCTCACGTACGAACATTATAATTCTCCCTCTCTTCATAACTTACGAACATTATAACTCTCCCTCACGTACGAACATAACTTACGAACATTATAACTCTCCCTCTCTCCCTCACGTACGAACATTATAACTCTCCCTCTCTTCATAACTTACGAACATTATAACTCTCCCTCACTTACGAACATTATAACTCTCCCTGACGTACGCAGCATTAGAACTCTCCCTCACGTACGAACATTATAACTCTCCCTCTCTCCCTCACGTACGAACATAACTTACGAACATTATAACTCTCCCTCACGTACGAACATAACTTACGAACATTATAACTCTCCCTCTCTCCCTCACGTACGAACATTATAATTCTCCCTCTTCATAACTTACGAACATTATAACTCTCCCTCACGTACGAACATAACTTACGAACATTATAACTCTCCCTCTCTCCCTCACGTACGAACATTATAACTCTCCCTCTCTTCATAACTTACGAACATTATAACTCTCCCTCACTTACGAACATTATAACTCTCCCTGACGTACGCAGCATTAGAACTCTCCCTCACGTACGAACATTATAACTCTCCCTCTCTCCCTCACGTACGAACATAACTTACGAACATTATAACTCTCCCTCACGTACGAACATAACTTACGAACATTATAACTCTCCCTCACGTACGAACATAACTTACGAACATTATAACTCTCCCTCACGTACGAACATTATAACTCTCCCTGACGTACGAACATTATAACTCTCCCTCACGTACGAACATAACTTACGAACATTATAACTCTCCCTCACGTACGAACATAACTTTACGAACATTATAACTCTCCCTCACGTACGAACATTATAACTCTCCCTCACGTACGAACATTATAACTCTCCCTCTCTCCCTCTCTCCCTCACGTACGAACATTAAAACTCTCCCTCTCTCCCTCACATTATAACTCTCCCCTCACGTACGAACATTATAACTCTCCCTCACGTACGAACATAACTTACGAACATTATAACTCTCCCTCACGTACGAACATAACTTACGAACATTATAACTCTCCCTCACGTACGAACATAACTACGAACATTTATAACTCTCCCTAACGTACGAACATTATAACTCTACCTCACTTCGAACATTATAACTCTCCCTCACGTACGAACATTATAACTCTCCCTCACGTACGAACATTATAACTCTCCCTCTCTCCCTCACGTACGAACATTAAAACTCTCCCTCTCTCCCGAACATTATAACTCTCCCTCACGTACGAACATTATAACTCTCCCTCTCTCCCTCACGTACGAACATTATAACTCTCCCTCACGTACGAACATTATAACTCTCCCTCTCTCCCTCACGTACGAACATTATAACTCTCCCTCACGTACGAACATAACTTACGAACATTATAACTCTCCCTCACGTACGAACATTATAACTCTCCCTCACGTACGAACATTATAACTCTCCCTCTCTCCCGAACGTAATAACTCTCCCTCACGTACGAACATTATAACTCTCCCTCTCTCCCTCACGTACGAACATTATAACTCTCCCTCACGTACGAACATTATAACTCTCCCTCACGTACGAACATTATAACTCTCCCTCACGTACGAACATTATAACTCTCCCTCACGTACGAACATTATAACTCTCCCTCACGTACGAACATTAAAACTCTCCCTCTCTCCTCTCTCCCGAACATTATAACTCTCCCTCTCTCCCTCACGTACGAACATTATAACTCTCCCTCTCTCCCTCACGTACGAACATTATAACTCTCCCTCACGTACGAACATTAAAACTCTCCCTCTCTCCCTCTCTCCCGAACATTATAACTCTCCCTCTCTCCCTCACGTACGAACATTATAACTCTCCCTCTCTCCCTCACGTACGAACATTATAACTCTCCTTCACGTACGAACATTATAACTCTCCCTCACTTACGAACATTATAACTCTCCCTCACGTACGAACATTATAACTCTCCCTCACGTACGCAGCTTTAGAACTCTCCCTCACGTACGAACATTATAACTCTCCCTCTCTCCCTCACGTACGAACATAACTTACGAACATTCTAACTCTCCCTCACGTACGAACATAACTTACGAACATTATAACTCTCCCTCACGTACGCAGCATAATAAAATGCCATGAGGCAGTGTCTGGATTATAGCGGCAGCCGGCAGTAAATGCACATCGATGTAAACAACATTTATTAACTTTCTCCCTGACATATGGAGCATTAATAACTCTCCCTCAGCAGCTGCTGCTCTGTCTTGGCGTCATGGAGGTGAGAGCAGCAGAAGAAGTGTCTTCTCTCTCTGGGAAGTAGGTTAAACAGATTCTTTAAAAAATAATTAAAAAACTACCCGTCAAAAAAAAAGAAAAGAAAAAAGACCAGAGATGACAGTTGGAGGGAGACAGAAGGAGGGAGGAGGGGGGAGGAAGAAAAGAGTGAGGAGGGGAGGAAAGGAGGTGAGATAAGAGGAAGAGGCAGAAGGTTAATGAGGCCTGAGAGGGAGGAGGGGGGTCTATTGTTGAGAGGAAGAGGAGGAGGAGGAAGAGGAGGAGGATAAAACAATGTCTGAGCAGAAGGCTGACAGCAGGGGGTCTCTGCAGCCTGTCGGTGTTTACAGGTGTTTCATTTAAGTTGAGTGAGTTTGTGTCGAGAATGTATTGAGTTATAAATAAATACAGTATTTTTGAGATTTTGTTAAAATATAAATAATAATTTTTTGCTGAAATAGCTGTAAAAAAACAATAAAAAGTAACATAACGCGCTACACTACATACTGATATCAGGGGTGCAAACACACGTATGGTGAAAGAACAGCGTAATAAACCATCTGACAAAGGCCTGCGCTGTAATGCTTCAATGAACTGGCTATTCTTTCTAATATACTCAGATCAATAGGAGACAGAGACGTTAAGTTATAAATCAAGGGTTTTTATTATTATTTACACCAGGGGTGGGGAACCTCTTTCCTTTACATTTTTACAACATCCTCCGAGGGCCGTACAAATTATTATTATTAACTCAACCACTGCTTAAAAATACTAAAATCACAGCCCATTCATTTCGCCTTTCTTTCATTCTGTGCAAAGAAAAAGCAACCTCTTAATCCAGATATCTCACCATGACTCGCGCATTCACGTGCACGGTGTGGCATGACCAACAGAAAGATATGGACACAAGATGTGTGCAAATGTATTTAGTTTCCTATCCATGTGGACATGATTTACGTGGGGGGGGAGACCTAACCTCCTCTAGGGGGGTCCGGGGCCATGCACTCCCTTTTTAAACTCCATTCTTGTTATTTTTAACAACTTTTCTGTTACTGTCATATAGTATTTTATACATGTTTTTCATTTAGTCTCTAATGTCTCATTAATAACTATAATGATCATATCAAGGTGTGCCTTAACCTCACTGAGCTGAGGTTATTTGAGCCTCTCAGGAGAGAGCTCTCTTCCACCTGGTTGTAGAAAAGCTCTTTAAATTCGTTAGCATAGCTAGCTAACCAGAGGCTAATAACAACAGATCGCCACTGTGCTTACAACTAAAGACACAGCCACGCAAACACTGCGGCATGCGTACGGCTCCTTATGGGTACTGCAATATTTGAAGAGCTGGAGCGGCGTTCCGGTGCTCTCCGTCTACACTACACTCCTTTCAGACGAGACATATACCACGTGAAGACACGTTACGCTCGTGTTGTGTTCAAGGAACCTGTCCTTGGCCAGGAAAAACAGGCACTCGCTTGTTTAATTATTTTGCGGTCTAGATTTCTTCTTCTTTTTTTAAGTGAGAAGTTGTCCGTCAGACGGACAACTTCTCACTTCACGAAAACTCACAAAACGAAAACTCTTCGGTTCTCCACGAATTACACAAGTCACCCAAATCAGCGTTAAAAAAGCGGGAGGCGCCGAAAAGCGACTAATTTGCATCACTGGATATACACCTGAACATCAGCAGGAGAGGACTCTTTAAAGTAGAGACACTACATACTGATATACACCTGAACATCAGCAGGAGAGGACTCTTTAAAGTAGAGACACTACATACTGATATACACCTGAACATCAGCAGGAGAGGACTCTTTAAAGTAGAGACACTACATACTGATATACACCTGAAAATCAGCAGGAGAGGACTCTTTAAAGTAGAGACACTACATACTGATATACACCTGAACATCAGCAGGAGAGGACTCTTTAAAGTAGAGACACTACATACTGATATACACCTGAACATCAGCAGGAGAGGACTCTTTAAAGTAGACTCTTTAATATGTTAATCTGGATATTCGTACCTTAACGTGGTGTCCGTCCATGTAGTGTGTAGCATCTCTGAAGAGACGATACATGACGAAACCTTGAGGGTCGATGCTGTCGATCAGAGGATACGCCGTCTACACACACCCCAAAAGAAAACACAAAGAAAATCAAAACACAAAGAAAATAAATCCTTAAACCGGTGTGTGTGTGTGTGTGTGTGTGTGTGTGTGTAAACAAGTCGACACACTTCACACACAGCTCTGTTAGCATCTCAAAGCACAAACTAAAGGCGTGAATCAGACGTAAACAAACCACAACTAACTGCCATTCATTTCTAACAGACTCACTCACAACAAGTCCTTTTCACACACTTCACCTTTGGAGCAACTCACATAAGCTTTCACATGTTAATCAGTGAACCTTAGACGTGGTAGGCGGTGGATTTGCATACATTTAAAACAGAGCAATGCTAGCTGTTTAGACCTTTATGCTAAGCTAGGCTAACTGGTTGCAGCTTTGAATGAAGAAAGCGTGTATAAGCATGTTTCTTCAAACATAGCACTGTATATATTGTTATAAACACATGTATTGTTGATTTATATAGTGCAATTTGCACATTTGTTTACACTAACTTCTCATGTTTATATAAATATTTATCTTTTTATTTGTAATTTTTATTTTAGCTTCTTATGTTTAAATAAATATATAATTATTATACATTTTTACTCTTTATGTTGAGATCTGTATTTTATTTGAGTTTAATTGTATTTCTATATATATATATATATATATATATATATATATATATATATATATATATATATTTTAATCTTTTTATTTAGTTTTATTCTAAAATGTTGTGAAACTCAATTTCTCCCCTGGATACATAAATCATTCTGAACCTTAAAATAACATAAAATATAGTTTCCACACTTTATTTTCTTGATAATAGGTAAAATGTTATTTAGTTAAAAAGTTTATTTTGAGACAAATCAAACTAAAGTGTGTGTGTGTGTGTGTGTGTGAGTTAGTGTCTGTCTCTCTGTGTGTGTGTGTGTGTGTCTGAGTGAGTGTGTGTGTCTGAGTGAGTGTGTGTGTGTCTGTGTGAGTCTCTGCCTGTGTGTGTGAGTGTGTGTGTGTGTGTGTGTGTGTGAGAGTGTGTGTGTCTGTGAGTGTGTGTGTGAGTGTGTGTGTGTCTGTCTGTGTGAGTGAGTGTCTGTCTCTGTGTGTGTGTGTGTGTCTGTGTTAGTGTGTGTGTGTCTGAGTGTGAGAGTGTTTGGGTGTACATGTGTGTGTGTGTGAGTGAGTGTCTGTCTCTGTGTGTGCCTGTGTGTGTGCCTGTGTGTGAGTGAGTGTGTGTGTCTGTGTGTGTGTGTCTGTGTGTGTCTGTGAGTGAGTGTGTGCCTGTGAGTGTCTGTGAGTGTGTGCCTGTGAGTGTGTGTGTGTGTGTGTGCCTGTGAGTGTGTGTGTGTGTGTGTGCCTGTGAGTGTGTGTGTGTGTGTGCCTGTGAGTGTGAGTGTGTGTGTGTGCCTGTGAGTGTGCCTGTGAGTGTGTGCCTGTGAGTGTGCCTGTGAGTGTGAGTGTGAGTGTGAGTGTGTGTGTGTGTGTGTGTGTGTGTGTGTGTGTGTGTGTGTGTGTGTGTGCCTGTGAGTGTGTGTGTGTGTGCCTGTGAGTGTGTGTGTGTGTGTGTGTGTGTGTGTCTTCTCACCATGCCGGTCTCTGCAGTGAAGATAACGATCTCGTAGAGTGGAGCTAGTTGCTGGAACAGATAATCGATGCCCGGACGCTTCTTAAACCGCCAACCTGTCGCCAACTGGGGGAGAAAACACAACATTTTAAATTAATTTTAGGTCAAATCTTTCCCTCTAACTAAATAATATTGTGACTATAATGTTTGATGTTATTGTAATGTGAATAACTGGATGCTAGCGATGCCATGATCACGTTTTATAGCCTCTGAAACCTTAAGACGATATACATTTGAACCCTAGTTTCACCACAATTTCAATTTTCCTGAAGTCATCAATCAAATCGATTCATTGTATGTATTTAAAATAAATGAAATGTCAAACCATCAAAAATGTCAAAACGTATCCTTTAACTTTGTAATTGTCTGTATAGATGGAGAGTAATTTATTGCAAGAACACACACAATTCATATTAAAAGGAAATAAATGGTTAAATACTGTCATTGTTTATAAAAAATATGGCAGTCGGAGTTTCAATGATGTATTCTGCTAATATATATAAATTACCCAATGTGTGGTGTGTGTGTGTGTGTGTGTGTGGTGTGTGTGTTTGCGTGTGTGTGTGTGTGGCGCAGCAGGACAGACGTTGTTTAGTTCCAGTCAGTCGCTCAGAGGTCTTGACCTTTTGCACTCAGATCAAGTTAAACAAACGCAACATCAACAACCTGAGGGCTGCGCGTGGGTGTGGGCGTGGGTGTGGGTGTGTGTGTGTGTGGTGTGTGTGTGTGTGGGTGTGTGTGTGTGTGTGTGTGTTTGTGTGGACAGTAAACAGACTGAGGTTTTATTTGGTTCTGGTTGATCATCTGCAGCTGAGATTGCTGCTATAAAATGTTGTTGGTAACAGTTGAAGCACTTTGTGTGTGTATGTTTGTCTCTGTGTGTGTGTGTGTGTGTATATGTGTGTGTGTGTGTGTGTGTGTGTGTGTGTGGTCAAAAGGGGACAAGTAGAGTGGTTGTTTGCAAATACCAGGCTGTAAGGAAGGGGGACGAACGGAGTGTGTTTGTACAAGATAGTAGCTAATGATCACAGATAAGTGTGTGTGTGTGTGTGTGTGTGTGTGTGTGTGTGTGTGTGTGTGTGTGTGTGTGTGTGTGTGTGTGTGTGTGTTTAAGTAACAGGAAGAAAGGTTCAAGTGGAGGGGCAGGTGAAGTGACTTCTGTGTGGGTGTGTGGCTGTTTAACAGGCGGGGCAGGTGTCGAGTTACAGCTGCAGCACACCTGTCAGGTAAGTGGAGTGTGTGTGTGTGTGTGTGTGTGTGTGTGTGTGTGGACAGGTGGTGGGACACGCTTCATACCCTCCACCTGTCCCATAAAACCATTAACCGCTCACTTCACCTGCGCTCCTCCTTTCTTCTTCTTCAAGTGTGCCACTAGATATGAAACGTTTAACGGACTCCATCCTTTCCATTCTGTTAACTGAGGAAAGACTAAAGTTGAATCTAACTATTAGTTTAATTATGGATTAATCTGTAAGTATACTTTAGATAAATAAATAGCTTTAAATGTCAATCCCGATTTCTCAAAAAGTCCAAGATCTTGTGATTATTATTGTAAAGTTTCTGCTATAGACCCATGCTGTGAGCTGAGCACGACAGCATGCGGCATCCAAACACATTTAATGGTGTTTAAATGTGTTTCAGTACAAATTTATATATTTTATATATCTATAAAATGACATAAAACTGAGAAAAACACCACATGCTTTTTTGTTTGTTTTAAATGTGGAAAATCCATCCTTTCTTTGAAAAAAATCGTTATCTATTTCACACGTGTTAACTTGAATACATGCCCTATTAAATCCATAGTCCAAAAGGTTATTCTACATCATATTATATTTATGGCAATTTAATGTCATTACCCAAACCCTATCATAAAACAAGATGCCTACAAGTCAGGGTTCATACACTTTTTCACCAATGATTTTCAATGACTTCTCCAGGACCTTTACCTCATTTTCCATGACCAAAAAAATGACTCTTTCTCAGCGGTACCACTGAAAATGGTTTATTTTAACATGGAACAGGAAATTAAGGTCTGCATATGAAACATGTTGTGCCTATCTAAAACAAATCAAATAGGCTTACTAGCTTCTACACGCTAAAGCAACTGAAATCTCTCACCAGCAAAACACCTCCTCAGTTAAATGCCATTTTATGTTTCATTACTATACGATACACTATTTCGGGGATTAGATCAAATATAAATTATATTTTATGCAACTTTAGTTACATTTCCAAAACTTTGGGAAAAATATTGTTTTCCATAACTTTTCCAGGGCCTGGAATTAGCATTTTGAATTTCCATGACTTTTCCAGGTTTTTAATGACCGTAAGAACCATGACAAGTGTTTTATGATGGACATTTTACAACTGTTGAACGAGCCACTACTGACCCCATGTCCAACACTTTTGAATATTAATATGTTGTGCATTTTTAAATTCACACACACCACACACACACACACACACCACACACACACACACACACACACACCACACACACCACACACACACACACACACACACACACACACACACACACACACACACACACACACACACACACACACACACACACACACACACACCACACACACACACACACACACACACACACACACACACACACACACCACACACACACACACACACACACACACACACACACACACACACACACACACACACACACACACACACACACACACACACACACACACACACACACACACACACACACACACACACACACACACACACACACACACACACACACACACACACACACACACACACACACACACACACACACACACACACACACACACACACACACACACACACACACACACACACTGTTTCTCCGGAGTGTGTTTGTTGACGTACCGACCACTTATATATACATATATATATATATACTTATATATTCATATGTTGGGACTGGTCAGCTTTCTGTCCCCAGAGTCAGAACTAAACATGGTAAAGCAGCGTTCAGTTATTATGCTCCAAATATCTGGAACAAACTCCCAGAAACCTGCAGGTCCGCTGCAACTCTGACTACTTTTAAATCCAGGCTGAAGACTTTTCTTTTTGCCGCTGCTTTTAATTGAACTATTCACATCTTAAACTGCACTGTAACTTTATCCATGTATTTTTTCTTTTAATGTTTATTTTATTATCTTTGCTTTTTAATGACTGATATTAAATGCCATTTTCTTAATGTCTTCCATTTTTGTAAAGCACTTTGAATTGCCTTGTGTTGAAAGGTGCTATATAAATAAACTTGCCTTGCCTTGTTGTGTATGTGTTTATGTTGACGTCTGGTTGATTGTTTGTTACGTACCGACCACTCTATATATTCACATGTTGTGTATGTGTTTATGTTGACGTCTGGTTGTTTGTTTGTTACGTACCGACCACTCGGGGTGCAGCAGCACGTCGGTCAGCTCCAGCACTAAAGTGTACGGAGGCTGGTAGTACGGCTCCTTCAGAGGGTCGGGGAGAAGCTTCGGGCTCGTGGGCTCGATGATCATCTGACACACACACACACACACACACACACACACACACACACACACACACACACACACACACACACACACACACACACACACACACACACACACACACACACACACACACACACACACACACACACACACAGCACACACACACACACACACACACACACACACACACACACACACACACACACACACACACACACCACACACACACACACCACACACACACACACACACCACACACACACACACACACACACACATCACACACACACACACACACACACCACACACACACACACACACACACACACACACACACACACACACACACACACACACACACACACACACACACACACACACACACACACACACACACATTTAAATCATGAGCATTTTTTATCCCTGTGAGGAAACTTGATTGAATTATTAAACAGTTTTAAAATAAAACGTTTTTTATTATTATTGTTATAACATTATAAAAAACTTTTTGTTATACTATGAAAAACAATTAAAAATGTTTTAATTTATTTAAAATTAAATGCATTAAGTAAATACAAATGTAATGTATTATTATTAAAAACAATTCAAATTGAATGTGTTGTTATAATACATTTTACACTAGCAGTTTTTAGTAATAATTTTGCAATAAATGAATTTTGTTGTTTCCATTTTGAATAGAATAGAAAATAAAATATACTTGTTTGAACATAAGAAGTTATACCTGATATTTCCATCCAATTAATTCACCTTTTTTTAGGTTGAAATCAGTGTAAAATCAGAATGTGTTTTAACCTGTCGTCCACTCACCTGTCTGTAGTCCTGGAAGAATTTAAATGTTCTCTTCAGCTGCTGCACCACAGGAGGCTCTGAGAGAGAGGAAGAGAGTTCAACATGTGCACTCACATTGACATGCACCCAACGTGTTGAAGGCAAGGTTTTAAAGGCTGCATTACAGTCAAAGTATGTATTGTATTATCTGTATTTACCCACTAAGTCATTACATCCACATTACTGGAGTCTATTTATCAAAATGTGTCTGAAATATTTTTAATTAAAAAGCACCAACTTTGAACTCGTCGCACCAGAAATACGTAAAAAAATCCGTCTGCATTTTCAGGTTGAATTGAAGATAATTAAGGACGTATAAGATTAGATAAAATTAAATAAAATACACCTTCATTAGGGAAGTGCAGGCTTCACACAGGTAAGAATTCACATAAATAACAATAACAACAACAATAGGATAAGGTAGGCAGTAGCTAAATAATAAACGAACACAAAATTAAACACAATATCGACTATTAAACCAGAAATATGTAAAATAATCTGTCTGCATTTTCAGGTTGAATTGAAGAGAATTAAGGTAAGATAAAATAAAATAAGATAATCAGTTTATTAGGGAAATACACACAGGATAGGACAGGTAAGCGTTGACATAAATAACAATAACAACAATAGGATAAGGTAGGGAGTAGCTAAATAAAAACACCTGAACTTTTGAAAGAACATCCATCTGTTTGCAACTTATATATATATATATATATATATATATATATATATATATATATATCTATCAATATTCCAATTACTTGTATATAGACTATTCTGCACTATTTCTACTATATTATATTTGTATTTACTTGCACTATTTGATCCGTTTTATTGTGTTGCTCTGTGGGAGGAGCCGGTGACCTCAGATTTTCATTGACATAACTACACTGTAGCTACGAAGAAATTACAATAAAAGCCTTGAACCTTGAACAAAACCATTAAAGTGGACCTATCATGCTATATTTGAATAATATAGTATAGGACCATACCTATATAAGGCATATTTATACTTTTTTTTGTTCAAAATACCAAACAGATCATGCATTTTAGCCATGCCTCATTTTGTTTTTGCAAGGGCTGATTCAGTGAGAACAGCACCACCTACAGGCCTGGCATATGTACTACAGCGTCTCCAGCGCTTTCGAACGGCAATAGCCGTGGCTGTCTCCTCCTGATTGGTGGAGTTGGCCCAATAGCCGTAGCGCCACCGTCCTGACGTCAGGACAGTGTTCAAATCTGGATCAGTTTTTATCAGATCCGTTGCAGCCCCTTTTTTAGAGATTTGGGTATGGAGGAAAATAGAGAGGGTTGTGTTTTCTGACACTTGGTGAGTTCCCTGGAACACCGGGGACACATATTCATGTAGAAAAGACGTGCAAAAGTGCATTTAGCATGATAGGTCCCCTTTAAATCTGAAGTGCTTAGATCCCTTCCCTGCAGACAGAGGTGTGTCACAGCCATCTGTAGTCTTAATGGGTCCTAAAAACTACAACTCCCTGAGGAGCCTGCATCACTAACAGCTGATTACATCTGTCTGACTCGAAAAGCACCAAGCCACGCCGAATAAAATCAATGTGTATCAGACTGACGGCACATATTTAAAGAGCAACTTGCAGGTTAGAGACCCCAGTGAATAAATGTGTAGGAAAATGATGTATACACTAGATTTTCAAAACAGTGACATCTGGCGTCGTTTTTGTAAGACATTTTAACTTCCGCATAAAAAAAGACCACCCGCGTGTGACGTCACATGAGGGAGAGCGGCCGGTCTAACGTATTAATACACATGGATCACAATGCTAGTTTTGACACAGAAGAGGTTGAAAATGTATATTCGAATGCATATGACGGACCACAACCTTATAATGATGAGCCTGCTAGGCAGCCAAGAGACCTGGAGCAGCCAAGGATTAGAAGGAATAACGGCCATCGGAGAGAAATGGAGCGGTGGTGTGAGGAGAACCAGTGGAGAACCAGTGGAGAACCAGTGGAGAACCGGGCAGCTGTCTTGGTGAGTGACCGGCGTTAGCTACAGTTAATGTTAGCTAACGTCGGTCACATCACAACATTGTAAAGTTAGCTATCATATATCAGGCTATAACTAAAGTAGTATTGATCATATAGAAACGTTACTGGCAGGACTGTTGATACTGATCCATGACACAGGGTTCATACACTTGTTCACCAATGATTTTCAATGACTTTTCCATGACCTTTACCTCATTTTCCATGACCAAAGAAATGACTCTTTCTCAGGAACAGGAAAATAAGGTCTGCATATGAAACATGTTGTGCCTATCTAAAACAAATCAAATAGGCTTACTAGCTTCTACACGCTAAAGCAACTCAAATCTCTCACCAGCAAAACACCTCGACAGTTAAATGCCATTTTACGTTTCATGACTATACGATACAGTATTTATTATCATTATAGTATTACTATTTCGGGGATTAGATAAAATATAAATGATATTTTATGCAACTTTAGTTACATTTCCATGACTTTTCCAAAACTTTGGGAAACATATTGTTTTCCAGGGCCTGGAATTAGCATTTTGAATTTCCATGACTTTTCCAGGTTTTTAATGACCGTAAGAACCCTGATAACAGAAACTAATGCGCAAGTATCAGCCGTATCTCGCGTTACCTAATGCAACTCCACACTACGTCTTACGGTGCTGTGTACCGGAGGGGAGAGAGAGAGGAACGAGGGGGGGGAGAGAGAGAGGAACGAGGGGGGGGGGAGAGTGAGGTAATACGGTTTCCTGATAAACGTTTTGTTTGATAGGTGCTAGCTTGTGTGGGAAATGCCAGCCCATGGCCTCAGCTGTGGAGAGTATGTGCTGCAGGGAGGTGGATGCCCCTCGCACAACGCACCCAGGAAGGAAAGCTAGCTCCGGTCCTTTTCCTGTCAGGGAAACTGTGGCCTCGATGTCCTGACAGGCTGGAGTTTGTGCAACTCCAGCTCACCATGATTACAAATGGTGAAATGCAATGTAAAATTACGAAAGAATACCAGCTCACTAAATCACAACCGCTCAAACCAACTACAAACTACTACCGCGCATTGGGCAGAGAAGGGGTCCGAGAAAGTTGCTCCCCCATGTGACGCAATACGACGCGTTTGACGTTAAAAAAAAAGCAGTTTTTAGTAGCAGAGCTCAAAACGTCTCCTTTCCCCTCTGAATTCCTGCCCTTATGTCTCGTATGCCTACATTAACTTTTTTCTTTTTGTATTAGTTTTACTATCTGTATTATTATGTTGCATTGTTGGAGAAGCCTGTGACATAAGATTTTCAACGACATAATTACTCTGTAGCTATGTTAGTTTGACAATAAAGAACCTTGAATTGTAATTTTCAGGCAAGGTTAAAAAAAAAAAACCTGCAAGTTGCTATGTAACTGTGATATAATAGCCATATACCACGGCCTGTCGTGACTGACGGCACATATTTAAGGCCGATTACTCACATTTTATAGTGTTTGGTGCAAAAAACACAACGCAGAAGGATTTCAAACACTTTTAACACGAGATATTTTGTGCTTTTAGTTTTATTTTTGTATTATTTAGCTTCTTTTCTTGCTTTCACATTACATACAATTGTTATTAGGTTCAATAAGACTTCAAAGACGTGATATTTAACCTGATATCCCAGAATAAATACAGTATTCTGACTGTGCTAAACACTAAAGCGATGCAATTTGTAAGTCAATAATATTTTTGTTTGTACTGCTTAATCATAATTCTCTCATTTCATTATTATTTGTTGTATTATTGTTTTACATGTTCTAAATAGATCAAATAAAAAATGCATGTGTTTATCTGCTCAAAAAGGACATTTATAAGAGGCCTAAATATGGACTTTCCTCTAATTAAATACAAGTAATTGAGTAATAGAACAACAATAACTGATGGTAAACAAACCACTTATGAAGCTGCACAAAAAGCTCACTTTCACATCAAAGCTTGCTGAGTTTTGATTGGTCGAGCTGATCTAACCCGCAGATGACACCGCAGATAACCTAGCGATAGCCACGTAGCGCTAATAACACCCACAGCTGTCAACGTGCTAATGACTAATAATAATAATAAAGACTCCATTTCCCATGGGGCCGCGGGGCTCATCACAGCAAACAGGGGCACACAAGCAAGATACACACACACAGTAATTCACACACACTCTGCCTGCCTCTCTATCACATGCACGCGTCCCTCTCTCTCTAAACACACACACGCTGAAGCTAGTGCCCTCTGCTCCCATGGGACTCAATCCCCCAGAGTTCATAGCAGCGTGCTGAAGCAGGAAGCGACGCCATCTGCTGTGGTGACGCGCTGACGCTTTCACACGTGTGGTGAGTGTGTGTGTGTGTGTGTGAGAGCAGATGGGGGAGGTAAAGATAGATCACGGGTGGAGCAAAGGTTGGAGAAGACGGATGTACAGACTCGCAAAAATAAAGAGTTACAGGTCAAACTGAGGAGAGTTCAATTATGAATTAATCACACACACACACACACACACACACACACATATATATATATGTGTGTGTGTATATGTGTGTATGTGTGTGTATATGTGTGTATATGTGTGTATATGTGTGTATATGTGTATGTGTGTGTATATGTGTATGTGTGTTATGCAGTATATTGCCGTGTTTTCCGATGATGTCAGCCTGGTCTGAGTGGATGCCTTCTGTGAAGTGTGTGTGTGTGTGTGTGTGGAGAGATTAAGGTTTTTATTATGGTAATCTGAAGGGGTGTGGGTGATGGGGAGAAAGGGGGAGGAGGTGATGAGGATGGAGGAGGAAGCTTGAGATGTTTAAAATTCATGTCCAAATGATTGGTTTCCTCTAATTTTCATCCTTTTTCACCTTAAAAATGAGTTGTATTTATTTAAGGAGGAGGAGATACCTTTCAATGGAGTAATTGTAGCAAAAATAAAGCAACTATTTTAGACTATGACTTTTTTGTGAAATAGGGGATCAACTAACAATTATATTCATTAGGAATTAATCTGTTTATTTTGTCGATAAATGG